TGTAGCGGCACTTATCGCCAGTCACTGTAGCTGAAACAAACCCGTGGCCAGGCTGTAAGAGAAATTTGTAAGAAAATCTTATTTAACATGAATTGTTCGTCTTGCGACTAATTTTCAGTGAAAAACGTGTTTAGTTTTCTAGGCAGGTTTTTATTATAAACAACGTGTAACGATGCTCTCAATTATTTCCTACGTTGCCAAGCAAAATTACAACCTAACACTTTGAGACTTGGTCGTAATTTGTAAACCATTTGAAATGTAAATTTAGTACTCTTAATGATGATAATGATGTATGTATTTATTATATGTGATTGTGAATAATATCATGGACATGGCATGGCCTAAATTAAAATAATATTTGTGCTCAAGAATCGAGTTTCGAAATTTTCATTGACTATCAAGTCTGCTCATTAGAACTTGAAACTCGGAACGTAAATTATTCGTCCATGCTGTTACTCACAATACCAATGGTGTTAAAATATTTTTGTAAATAAAAGAAGAAACTTACAATTTAAGTATTGTTCGCTATATTGTCAAAGAAATGGTATTTTTCGACCAATTAAAATCCGAATTCCTGAATTTGTTTTGTTTCATTGACCCATCTATTTTAAAATATCGTACAGCTCTACCAAACGTAGAATAATATTATGCAAGAAACCTCGGGTTCCTTCCCCAAATTGTGTATAATATTTTTGGAATTCCTCGCAGGCATCTTTACTATCATTACAAAAAGTACATTCGCGATATAGATAAATAAAAACATCTAACAAACTTATATGGTAATCCCATCAAAGAGTAACATTGAATGTTAGTAACTCATACAGAGACCACCATTCATGAATCGGTGACGATATCGGCAGAGTTGCGGGGAGCCAGTGGATGCAGGTGGTGAGTTGTCGTTCAACGTGGAGGACTAATGGGGAGGCCTTTGTCCAGCAGTGGACGTCTTCTGGCTGTTAATGATGATGATGATTCATGAATATTACGACATAAACATATTAAACCAAATGCAGATTGATGATAAAACACACAAGCCAATCATAAGGCCCATTACACACGGCGTATTTTCATACGCGTAGGCAACGTGCAGTAGTGTATTCAAGAAAGGAGTAAAAAGGTTTATTAATCGTCTGCAAGGCGCATATAATGCCATATGTGTTGCAAGCGTTCATAGGCCATGGTATTGGCTAACCATCAGGCGGGCCGTGAGTTGATTTTTTGCCACCGTCATAGCACAAAAAAATAGAATGACGCGCGTATACGCGCTTCATACGAGATTTAAACGCAATCTTGTAACGTAAGCACAAGTACCTAGCGATTGTGAATACTACCTCTTCTGCGCGTATACGTACTGTAGTCCTTCGTAACATCCAATAAAACAATTGATTCACACATAATAAAAAAATGCAAACACACAATAAAAAAACAGTACATTAAAAACGGCGCTTCATGCCCGTAGCACACGGCGTATTTTATACGCCGTGTGCTATATGGGCCTATCGTGACTAGCGAACAAAAATATCCCATTAATATCAATAAAAGGCAAACAAAGCCGATTGTTATCGACGAAACACACATTACTTTTCAAAAAAAGGTTACTAAGATGAAACAATATCAGAATTCACCATTAAGCTCTTGATATATAATATACTGAATCAAAAATACTACGATAATAGCTTTAGCATGTCTCATATATGTATAATATATGCCTGTGTGAACATTCAGAATAAATTTTACTGATAAAATCAGTTTTATTTTTACAGAAATGGCTGTGTTAGTTGTTTATTCACAGCTGAGAAAAAAATTTAGATTATGTCTAGAAATTTCAAATTCATTCGTCATACAGCACGTTGAACGTATCAGATGAATTAAAAGTTAGTAATAAAAGGAAAGCTAAAAATGTTTGATTTCAACTTTAATATTTTAGTTAAGCCAAACTCGTCCGCGGTTGTACAATTCAGCTAGGAAAAGAGACAAATTAAATTCTACAGGATAAATAGATGTAAATGTTCGTGTGTTTCTTAGTTAGACATATTTTATACACATAATAATGATTCTTATGCTCATGGTATAAAGTTTTATTAGTTTAATTAAAGTGTAGTAATTTTTTTTATGAACATTAAATATAAAAACTCACTCCCGCCGAACATTCGGGATGCCAAGTCAATCTCTATCTTTAAGAGACAAGTGAGAGAACATTATCTTTCCTCCTGAAATATAGATCTTTTTGTTTATATTTGTTTATATATATATATATGTAGGTATATTTATATAAGTAATAGCATTGTATTAGTTTGTTTTGTTGTTTATTATTGTATTTCTATCGGTTTTTTCGTTATTATTATTATTTTTTTTTTTTTATTGTTTGTGTAACACACTATGTGTCTCAGTGTTATTATATCTTTTCCTGCCACAGGCCCACAGGAAGAGATTCCAGTTGGAATATGTGGGGCCTATGTACTCTGTTTTTATATATGTGTTGTCCTCTGTGTTGAATGTGTGTACATAAATAAATAAATAAATAAATAAATAAATAAATAAATCAATGCCACAATAGTTTATGAGCCTCCATTCTCGAAACGGTATTAAATATTACAAGTCCCACTTTTTATAAGTTTTATGTACCTATGTATCTTGCTATACCTAGAATTCAAAATAGTGTACAACTTTTAACTTTTACCTAGGTACTTTATATAATTTCAAAATTTGCTAAATTTTATCATAATTTACAATTGCACTTGCAATCAAACAAACAGTCACTGATATGTGCCGACACACGTCAATGTCAAATGACGGCTCACATACTTTTTTTTTAAAGGGGGAAAATCATCGAATGACTGTTCCCGCCTGGGTGAGGCAGGAGGGAGTGTCAGACTCATACTGACTAAAAACCACCCCGTTCCTTCTCCTGCACGTCGAGCCGGAGCCGCGGTAGCCCGGTAGCTTCTCCGCGACACAGCTCACATACTTAGACTATCAATGAAAAGTAAATCAACGGATGACATCACAAAATCCAACATCTCATCACATCTGGACTTTACATGCGAAATAACACAGATAGAAAATCCCAACGAACAACTGTTGATGGTAGAAAGCCCGCCAAGCACAAACACCTCACCTGGTCGGAGGATCCTTCGTTTTCGTTCTTAGGGAACTTTACTCTCTGTTCCCTAAAGAAGAAAACAAAAATGTCTTCAAATTTACTATATAGATTTAAAGTGTTAAATGTGAAATCGTCGGCGCTTTTCGCTAGTGGAAATATTTCATTATCGTTTCTTACATTCTCAGACGTAACAAAACGTCCATTCTTGAAGAATTTAATGCTTCTCACAACCTTCGGCATTGTGATTGATATTCTTTGTCTGGGAATAAGTTCGACATGACTTTTAAAATCAAGAAGAATTTTCAATTTGAAACTGCACTTCCATTATATTTTCTTTGGTAAGAGGATAAAAGATCGCTTTCTTGTTTTGTCAACTGTGAACACAAAGAAATGAGGATTTGATCTAAGTGAGACGTCACTTTGAAAATTAAAAGATAACTGCGATTCATTAAAATGTTTGTTGGGAGAAGAATAGAAGAAGAACCGATAAATGCCAGCTTAATTCCTAGTATTGATAAAATATTATGTAAGTACTTTTGAACAGTTTTTCATAACAAGTACAAAGTTAAATTATAACATAGATTTCTTTTTCGCTACGGGTGCTTCTTTTGTTTGATAAAATCTTTTTAATAGTATGATTAACCAGCAAAATAATAATATGACTTTAAGACATATCAAGTATCAACTTATATTTGCATTACGTACAGTGGTCAGCACATCAACTGACTACAGTGTGTTGATTATTGCCTTTCTATTTTTGCTTTTAAAGCTAGGCTAATCAATAGAGTGGAAAATCTAATAAAAAAATGACAAAAAGAGTGGTTTGACCTGCCCTCTGTACCTACCGAAGTACGTATAAGTACAAAAAGAATCTAGTACCTAAAGTAGCTTTATTAGTCACATCTCTGAGCAATAGCTAGAGCTTCCATTACACGAAGGATTTTATACTTTATTTTCAGTTCATTGCGAGTGAAAAATGCTAGAATATCATGAAAATGTTAAGAACGATATTCCGTTACCGTCCATATTTCACTTGACTTTTTACGGCTTTCAAACCATAGTGTTGTAGGTATATTATTTACGCATATAATAATAGCATTTTTTATGCTTATCTGAAGCGTTTTCTTGATACGTAACTGAGGGTTAACAAAGTAAAACATGATAATAGTGACGTTAATATTTTTTTATGTAATATTTTATACATGTGTCACAGAATCTGTAGATAGTCTACTATCAAGGGACAATAAAGCCGTAAATTATATTTTCTATCAGTGTATGAAAATGAGGCAAAGGGTTTTAGCGAGTTCACTGACTATCAATAATAAAAATCAGAGAAGGTTAAGTCGTTGCCATAAATAATTAAAAATAAATTTTAAATCGTTGAAAAGCAATTTGCAGACAATTCAAAAGTTTGAAGAACTGAAGATATTTTTGATAGCTTTTAAAATTATTAAAAAACTAAACCATCGGCGCAAAAATTTTAAATGTATGTTATAAAAAATGTTTAAAAAGAGCATACATAAATGTTATTAGAAAGAAAGAAAGAAAAACCATTTATTTCTGCGCAAAACACACATAACATAATTATTTAAAAAATAAAAGAAAACAAAAAAAGCTAAAAAATTAAAATGAAGTGAGATCTTGTCCATGGTCCACAGACTTATTATTTTACTGAAATGATAGAATATTTAATATCTAACATTATCTGTGGACCATAGACAAGGAAACACTGCCCATGCCATTGTTACATGCTCTGTGGTCATAATATTGTGCGTCATGTATGCGTGCGCAAAAACAGGATAATGCTCAGCAATGTCTGCGACTTAAACCTCAAGAGGTTAGCGTCGCAGCGCTGATTTTCAGCATCTCCTTGGGTGACGTAATGGCGTCCCGCCTGCTTCACTAATCGCCAGCGAACAAGAATGCAAAACAACAAAACAACGAAATGATGTGAGTGCAGACCATGATTCACTTAACTTGGTAAATGTAGTGACGTGAATTGTTGCTATTAAAGCAGTAGTGTACCGTGTGTGAGTGTGATATGAATTGTGTGTTTTGCATTTACAGCAAGTAGCCGGCATGACCTGTAAAATACAGATATACTTAAATTGACCATAAATGATGGGGGAGGCTGCAGCTACGAACAACAACCTGTTGGATACCTGTGCATCACCATGTTGGAAGGCCGCGACCCTTGAGGTGAGTAGTGAATTGTATGTGTTATGTATGTAGTGTGTGTAATCTATGTACGTTTTTGTGTGTTTAACAGTAAATTCTTCAACTGTTGTAAAAAGTGTTTTTTGGTTTTCAGGCCTCGCATTGGTGGTGGCAGGTTGTTCCAACAGTGAGTCGCAGCATATTTGAAGCTCCCCCTGAAGGCCGCTGTTCTGTGCTGAGGGATGGATAGTGGATTTGTAGTTGAGCGTATGTGGTTTATTGAACTATGCTGTCTCCACTGTAATTTCTCATACAGGTACCGTGGCTTTTGGGTAGTAATAACTCCAAACAATAGGCCTGCCAGGTGCAAACGTCTCCGAGCTTCCATTTTTAAAATATTGTTTCGATTCGCAAAAGGGGTGACATGGCTTCTTCGTGGTATGTCCACACAGTATCTTATGCAAGCATTTTGAACACGCTGCACCAATCTGTTTGTTTTTGCTAGCAAGCATGGACCATAAACTGTGTCACAGTAGTTCAGTCTTGATAGGACCAGACTATCCACAAGTTGTTTGCGCAGAGCTACACTCAAGTATTTCCTAAAGCAGTATAGAGTTTTTAGTCTATAAAAACAGTTCCTTGTACTATTTAATACGTGCTTCTCAAAGTGTAGCTCTGGATCCATAGTGAGACCCAAATTGGTTGCCGTGTCTACCATTTCTATATTTTCATTGTTTATTGTAACCACTGGCCCAGCAGACAGCATAACACTGACTGTCCTCTTACTTCCCAAGACCATATATTTGGATTTCACCGGATTCAGTACCAGGCAGTTGTCCTCCGACCAAGTAAAAACGTTTTGCAAATCAGCATTAATATTCTGCACAGCCAACGAGACGTCTGCAGGTTTACAAGACATGTACAGCTGAATATCATCCGCATACATATGGTACTTGCAATGTTTAATTGAGTCTACAATATCGGCACTGTAGAGAATGTACAGAAGCGGTCCCAAAATTGAGCCCTGAGGCACGCCGCGCGCGACAGGTAGTGGAAGAGACGACACGACCGTTCCGTCCTCTTTACGGATTTCAACAAGTTGGGACCTATTGTTCAAGTAGCTTCCAAACCACTTTATTGTTTCCATCGCGAATCCATAGTAAGCCATCTTGGAAAGCAGTAAAGTGGTGTTTATCGAGTCAAAGGCCCGGGAAAAATCAAGGAGCACCAATATCGTCCCCTCACCCCCGTCACGAGCCTCCAGTATGTTGCCTATAACATCAGCCAGTGCCGTTATTATAAAATCATTATACAAAACGTTGAAGATTTTTCAAGTAATTTGCACATTAAAGACTCTTTTTATATTTTAATAAAGACAAAAAACGTAATTTATACATTTTAGGAATCATGCCTTTTTAAATGAACTATACGATTTTGTTAAATTATTATTTAGATTAAGTCATGTTTTTACTGCAAATGAAAGATTTATTACTTGTAGAATAATAGAAATTCAATCTAGACGCTTACGTTTTTCTTAGTATTCAATTTCTGCCTAGTTTTCTATGGAAATAATAACGAGTATCATTTTAGTCATTATTATCATTGATGTTTCTTTTTCAGACGTATCTAATCTTATTTTGTAATTCGATTACAACGTTTTATTTTGGTAACCTAAATATGGTTACTAAAATAATTTGTCTATATTTAGCAATAACGAATGGAAAGTTCTGAGTATTATCTTTTTTCGTGCTAACATCGTAAAATGTTGTGCTGATTTTATAACAATAATTTTATTAAAGTATAACATAACATCACGCCTTATATCCCCGAAGGAGTAAGCAGAGGTGCACATTATGCCACTGTACAATGTAACACCCACTTTTCACTATTTATGTTATGAGTCCCATGTAATAGGGGGTGAGCGTATTGCCATATGGTAATATATATACCGGGCACAATTCCAGACTCCGTGCTACTACTAAGATTTTTTTTAAAACCCAATAATACTTTGCAAGACCCGGGAATCGAACCCGAGACCCCATGCCCGGCAGTCGCACTTGCGACCACTCGGCCAACGAGGCAGACACAGTCAGTGTCAGAGTCAGAGTCAGTTTATTAAAGTTTGTAACCGAAATATATGTTTTGTTTAAAATAGAATAAAAATAAACCAAACTTTCAATTCTAATTTTAAATAATACAACTCCACAATTTTATTGTAAATAAAAAAAGGCTCCTACTTTTTTAACTCCTCAAAATAGGCTGGTAAATTCGGTACAGTGTCTTTGTTACTTGTGGGAAAGTTTTAAGATCACAATTTAGTAGTTAACAACACCTAACCCGTTTAGGGTCTTCGAACAGTTAAAGTGCTTTGAAAAAATACACAAAAACATAAACTTTAAATAGAACCATGAAAGTACCCGACTTCGACAATAAAATGGTTTAAAAGTTGGTGTTACGACTATTATTAGTACTACAGTTTTATAGTTCTCCGATGCCTATGTTAAAGGTAATGTTCCCAAAGTGATGCTTTTCAACTCTTTAAGAAAATCTTTGACCAGAAAATTAGAGGCACGACATTTGATCAAGTATCGATTACTCGATTGAGGTCACAGGAAATAAACTCATTTAGCCCTACTGTACCACATAATGGTATAGTACAACACATGGCACCGTACTAAAATCAAATCAAATCAAATGATAATAATTTATTGCTACAAATCTGTTACAATCTTTAAATAACTAGATAAGGAACGTATGTAAAATAATTAAAGATAAAATCAAGCAAAGAAAAAGAGTTTCTAGTTTTAGATAAGGTGATGTATTACCGGACCAGTAAATACACCAATTTCAGTGCAGTATAAGTAACCTACTCCAATCAGTCAATTTTATTAATTGGATTTTGGGCTTTATGACAATACGATAAAGTTGAGGTTATAATAGAGAAATTTGTCAGAAAAAGATAGGTTAACCCACTGGCTACTATACTTAGAAAAATACTACGAAAAAAAGGAAGCACACGGTTTCTCTTATTTTAAAATCAACTTTAAAGTAATTCCGAGTTGGTTCATACTCGTATAATATTGTTTTAACGCAAGCAAAGAGTTTAGAAGTTTCTGTGTTTTTTGAAAGTAGTAAATTGCATATGAAAATGAGAACAAAGTGAGAATGTTTTCCTCACAAACATTCGCGTACCTAGTTACTGAAATAATTTTGTAGAATATTAGTCTAGCAGTGCAGAATAGTTTGTATTCAACTTTCTGATTCAAAACTGTAATTGTTTTTTGAATGCATATTTTACTTTTCTTATCTTAAATTCGTCTACAACGAGTCGAAAGTCTTCACGCTAACGTCAGCGCCAGCTCAGGCCCATGGACTAGCCTAAAAATAAATCAAGTCAAAGTCAAAATAAATTATTTTATTTAGACCAGGAAGGCACTTTTGAACGTCAGCAATAAAAATTTAAAAGTGAAGCTATTTGCTCATTCCAATGTGTAGATTCCTATGGAGAAGAACGAGCAAGAAACTCCATATGTTACTCTTTTCCAATCAAAATAAGATCAAAACTTACATGAACAAAAATACCCAAGTTCATATGAATTCGCTTACACGCGTAAAATGTATTATCATACAAAAAAACCAACAGTTGAATAAGACGTTGACATCGTATTTCTCGGAAAACTCGAAGACATTCCTTCCACATAATTGTGAATTCCTTCAACGTATCTCTTCAAAAAGTTTATTGCGGTACACGTAAATTGTAATACATAAGAACGCTGTAATACAATATTATTACACGCTAACACGTTAATTCTATCCAATCTGTATTCGTATGACGAGAGAAGACTGGAGAGGACAGAGGATGCTGAAGGAATTATTTGATACGTGATATTGGCATTATAAGAGGTTTGGGTTTTCAGAATAACTTACTTACATATGTCTTATGTCTTCAGCTTGTTCACGTAACTGTTTGGCGAGGAACTCGACTAGTTTCAAGCCATGCTAAGGCTCATATTGATGTGCAGCATTCTTCGCCCAACAATTACGTGAGTAAGCCGAAAACATAATAATTAATTTAGTTTTTTTTTATGGAATATGAGGCAAACGAGCAGACAGATCACCTGATGGTAAGCAATCAGCGCCGCCCATGGACACCCGCATCACCAGAGGGGTCACAGGTGTGTTGCCGGTTGAAGGTGTGAAGGTCGTATCGGTTCAGAAATACCGCTGACGACAGATCATTCCACAGTTTTGCCGTGCGAGATAGACATCTACGTGAGAAGCGCACAGTTGTGGCCTGCCAAACATCTATATGATGGGGATTCATATGCTGTCATGAGTGTCGATGGCGAAAAGATGCGGCAGGTATCAGGTCAAATAATTCCTCCAAGTACTCCCCGTGGTATAAGCGATAAAAAGTGCTCAATGAAGCTATATCTCTACGCATTGCCAAAGTGTCCAGCCGGTTTGAAATATCCCGATATCATAGTATGTCTCGTGAAAGTTTTAATCCGATTTTCTTGTTCAAGATCTTGCAAGTGACTTTGAAGATCGGTGAGGACATTCAATTATCTTGTAATCTATTACAGTAGACCTAATATGAATAAGATAGATAGATACGAAAAGAAAAAAAGTCATTACATTCACAAAACAAGCAATTTATATTGGCGCCCAGCGTGGGACTACCCATATCTCTCCCAGCTGACTTTAATCCATGTTTCGTTGGCAAAAGTTCTTCCTAAAGTAATAAATAAAGCAACCAGCTGTCGCTACAAGCTATTCAGATCACGTTTGACATTTTATTATTTTCAAGTTTAGCGTGATCCGAAATGGCTATCGTTATTTATGAATTTCACTAATTTTCCGTTTCATTTAACTTACAAGTTGTATTTTTGTCACGATTGAAGTACTTTTCCCAAGGTTTTGTGGGGTGATACTGTTGTTATGACCCACTGACCTTAGTTAAGCACAATGTCATTTAACCTTGAACAATTAAGTAATTAGACTTCAAAATACGACTAATATTTTAGCTACTTTTATTTCCTTTCTCGTGACGAGAATATAACGAGCGACTAAATTTGATAATGCTCCTTTCCCTCTCTCTGTTGAAGCAGATGGCATGAATACAAATCCAACTAATATACAAACTAATAGATCTATTAATCAGTCTAAGAATTTACTTGGAAATTGATTACACTGGAAATTTGAATGAAAATTGCCATTGAAACTGCTACAGAAATGGCTACTTGGAAGTTTAGATTTGTGGGGCTATTACATTTCTTATTTAATTATACTTCAATAGTAAAATGACAATGAATTGCTATAGGATTCTAAAAGGACACATTTTCAATTTTATTCCAGAATGATTTTGTGTTAAATCTATCGTGTGTAAATAATTTAAGTTATATTTTGTGTGTCATCTTGTATTCATTATGATCAACTTAATTTTAGTATTTTTCCATAATTTTTTTAAGAAATGAACATACTGTTTGACTCTATAAAAACGTGACG